TAGCTTGGGGGACTGAGATTTGTGTGCCCCAAATTCACATACTGAGGCTCTAGTCCTTAAAGGGACTGTATTTGGAGATGAGGCCTTTAAGGACATAATTAGGTGAGTCCATAACCACACAGGATGGGTGTCCTTACAAGAGAAGGGTGCTATACACAGAGGAAGAGCCTGCCCCAGGAAAGGCAAGCTGATGATACAGGCAAAGGGGGTCTGGAGGCCTCAGGAGAAACCAGCCTGCTGGCATCAGGAACAGACACCCAGCACCGGCACTGAGACGTGTTGAGAGCCTCCCAAGAGAGCAGGAGCAGACGTGGAGCCCAGGGCAGGTACACTGAGAGGTGCACATCAGACCTGCAGCTGTCCCTCTTATGACTAGCACAGACCAAGGAGGTTACTCCAAGTACCCAGACCCCGCCCGCCAAGGCAAGAGCCAGCCCACCACTGCCATACTGCTAGGACCCCAGGGCACCCTTAGACCCAGCAGGCTTTTTGACTAGCATTGCAGGAGCTATGTCTTGGTGCAGACACCTTTCAGTTCAGAATCTTTGGTGCTAACTTTACTGTCCTCTCATTACCTTTGTACTTGGCAAATATCTGGGCAGACATGACAAATCAAATCCCAGCACTCAGAAGACTGAGACTGAAGTCAGCCTGGGCTACCTAGGGAGACTCTGCCTCTAACAACAAGAAAATCAAACCTAAGCACTTGTCTTCATATCACAAGCCAGACTCAGCTCAAACCATCAACTGGGGGCAACTCACCTTGGTAAAATAGTGGGGATTTTGCAAATGTGATGGTTGCAACTTCCTCTGAGTTTATCTTAAGGGTCCTTTGCTAAAGGAGACTGTGCTTAAGTGGCCTACCAAACTCTCTGTCATAGCAGCTGTAACCCCGCTGCCCCTGGATTCGGAACGCACTTCTGGCTGAAACTGCGATTTAAATTATGCCCTACGTGTTTAGTGCATAGTTTTCATATGACTCATATTCTACTAGAAAGTGCACAAAAGCAGACTCAGCAATTCCTCAGCTGGCTGGGAGGCTACTAGCTCTCCCTGGCTCTGACTCAAACTGCTGTGAGCACCTCCACGACCTAAGATCTAGGATCAGGCACCATGCAGATGGGAAGCAGCGTGCAGGCAGTGACTCCACTTATTCCCTGGCAATTTTGCCAACCTTTACATACAACTCCCACCCCACCCTCTGGTCCCAGAAGAGGACCTGCGGACCCACTCCTAGGGTTCCTGAGTTCTGGAAAGTGGTGTGACCTTCTAGGAGCAGTTGGAGAACAAAATGGTTTCTCTAGGGTGCAGAATGCCATTGGTGGAATATTCATCCTCTTTAAATGTGAATCAAATCTGAATGCAAGAGTGCTTTTACTCTATCTGTTTTGGAAAACAAAACCTAAAGCCAGTGGTACAGATCTGACAGCAGGGAGCAAAACCTACAGGTCCTAGCAGCTGGCAGGAGAGACTCAAAGCCAATTTGAAAGAGGTAAACAATTTGGAATAGCCAAAGAAATATATTAAATGGCACACTAAAAGAGATGTCTCTCCCAGGGACTGTTAAACTATTAGGAGACACATCTATCATTTTTAATCTGGTTAATGGAATGGTCAAGCTCAAAATCATATGTAACACTTCTTAAAGAAACTACGATCAAAATAGCATTTCAAAACTATTGTTTAGAGAAATAACATTTCTTACTTGAAGAAACAATCACCTCTGGCTCACAGGAAGCCCACAGTGCACAGAGGTCTTCCCACAGTCTGGTGTAGGAACAGGAGGGAATGGCTATCCTCCCAGTGCTTGCTAGGTCCACTGACTGGGTGAGGCCTGGGGACCCAGGTGTCCAGCAGGACGCAGCAGAACCCGACCTTGGCCTGGACTGGAGACCCTGTCTGGAGCAGGAGGGTTCAGACTAAGCCTACCCTGTGGAGCTGACAGCTATTTCCACTTCTATAAGGGTTATATGGCTAGAGACCACCCAGCAGCTACTGTCTACTACAGCAATCTCCCAACAGCTTGGCCATTTCTGACTTACCTAAGATGGGCCTCTTCAGTGTGCAGCCCGAGTACAGAGGCTAGGAGGATGGGGCCGACTCGCGCTGAGGGCTTCACCCTCTGCCTCCGTCCACCTCTGACTTCTCTTTCCAGGCTGCCTCACCACAGCTTCAGCTCACAGCCCTCTGTAAGCTCCAGGACAGTTTCTGCCCAGCTGTTAGTCACCACCACCCCATGAACAACTGGGCCACCAGTACTGCATGGCCTTTCCCAACACATCCCTCCAAACCTGGCTGACTGGCCAAGGGTCCTACTGCCTCCAGGTGGCCCCACTGACCACTAGACACTCTCCACAGGGCTTGTAGCAACGCTGACTGACTGTGACCACTGGCAGGACTCACATCAAGAGCTCTGACATGCTCTTCTTCACTCTATAAGGGCAGCTCAAAGAATGTCAAGCAGAAGATAAAAGCATGGACAAGCCAGGTTCCAGGGGTTCACACCTAAAATCCTAGCTACTTAGGCGGTTGAGATATGAAGACCACAATTTAAAGCCAGCCCAAGCAGGAAAATCCTTGAGATTCTTTGTTCTAATTAATAACCAAAACACCACAAGTAGAGCTGTGGCTTACATGGTAAAGTGCTAGCCTTGAGCAGAAAAAGCTTAGGAAGAGTGAGTGCCCATGCCTGAGGTCAAGCCCAGGACCAGAACACGAACACACACACACACACACACACACACACACACACACACACACACACACACACACACACACACACTTACAGACCATTCTTGCATTTGGTAAAAATAAGGGTCTGGTTGTGTTCTTTTGTATGTAGTTAGTATGCTTTGGGGGAAGAAAACAATGACCTGATTTCAAAACTGTGTGCAAATGCAAAGGTCCTAGGAAGAACAAGGTTAGAGAGCTGAGCTACTCAGCCAACTCAAGAACAATTCTAGAAGCTGTTGTGGTTATGTCAGGAGGTAAAGGTCAACAAATGGTTACTGGGGAAAACAGAGTTTTCCCCAGTGTGTGAGCAATAGGCCTGTGACAGAATGCAAAGGAGAAAGCGTCACCTTGCAGCAAATGAGGCTGCACTAACAGATTATCCACATTAAAAATAATTAATTCCAATCCAGACCTTCACAGACAGAACAATACCCTAATAGTCCATGAGGAAGATCCTAAATAGATTCTATCATGGTATTTTAAATGGTCCCAGGGTGAAATGGAAAGACATCCTTAAATCTAATGTAAACGTTCTATCTGAGACAGGACTCCATTTAACTAAGGTCCTACAAAACAAGGCATTCTACAGTCAGAAGGCCAGGGTCACACCTCAGAAGGAAGAGTTGAGTCCAAGCAATGGCTGAAAGAGCTAGAGGCCAGGCTTGCACACATACATGCTTCTTGTAACTTTTTCTCACTCAAATTAGCCCCCTAATTTGTACAAATATAGTGTTTTAAAAAATTGTTTAAGGTTATGTTATCAACGAAGAGACACTTATTTCTTTCCATTAAAAACAAAAAAATCGGCCAAGCAGAAGCTCAAACCTATAATCCTAGATACTTGGAAGGCAGAAATTAGGAGCTGGGGGTTTGAGGCCAGCCAGGCAAAAAAAGTTGAGATTAAATCTCAAGCAATGGCTGAGAGTGTTATTATGTACCTTTCATCCCAACAATACAGGCAAGCACAGGTGCGGAGCGTGTGGGGTGAGGTGCAGAGAAGCACAAGAGTATTTCAGTCTAGGCCAGTCAGCCCATAAATTGAGACCCTATCTCAAAAGTCAACCAACATAAAAAAGACTGGTGGGGTGGCTGAAGTGGTACAATGCCTGCCTAGCAAGCACAAGTCCCTGAGTTCAAAGCCCAGTACCACCAAAATGCATAAATAAAAATGAAACAAGTTTTTCATAGACACAGAACCTAAGTCAGAGAGAGAAAGAGAGAGAGAGAGAGGGCGCAAGCAAACCCATTGAGTATTTACTTGTAGTCTCCATGAAAGTTGCTGTCAGTGGACATGCAGTACTGACTTCTATTCTAAGCCAGCCTAAAACTGAACAAATGCTGGGACTGATGGCTTACAGCCATTTTGATGACTTAGAATGCAGAACTGTCTTCCAGCTCACACAGGTACAGTCTCCTGAACAGCCACAGTTAGCTCTGTTTGAAGCATGCTTCCAAGTTTACTAAGACTGCAGCATTCCACGCACAATCTGTCACCCAGTGACAGCAACATTTAGCCAGGTCTCTGAGGCAGAGGCCTTCCCCAGCCATTCCTCGTACAGCAAGGGCTGTCCTGACATGAGGACGAGAGTCTCTGCCGGCCCAAGGGTCATCCAAGGACCCAAGGAGGGTGGCCACAGATAGTCACCAACCCAATGACGCTCATGGTTCTCATTCCACACTGCAGCTCAAACTGGAGAGAGCAGCAGCTGGTCTCACATTGTCAGTTAATGCCATGGTCACCTCCATCTGCTGGCACGGGCACCTTCATGACACATCTACCCTCTGCCCAGCCTTTTGTCCATCTCTACACCTCTCCACCCAGTTACGGCTTTCCTCTACCCAGTACTACAACCATCCTTCATCCACTACCATGGCCAGCACCCAGCTATCCTACCCCAGGGCTAGGGTCACTTTGGCCGTTGACAATGTGCATGTCAGCAGGCTCAACAGATGTGTGAGGGGTACACTGTGGAGACTCTGAAATGCCCTCTCTAGATTCTGAGCAACTTTCCCCTCCAAGTTAGTGTCCTGAATGGGAGCCTGCATCAGCCTGACTGTCAAATCTCCAAAGGGTGGGGAACTGTGCTCTACCTGATCACTGTCCTATCACCAGTGGACAAGTGAAGACATCGAAACTACACCCCAACAGTACACCAACAGCACTGAGAGGACACATACACTCTCTCCTCAGAACGTGTCCTATTTCCTCTCCCCAGCCTAAGAAAACCAGGTTTGCACTAAGGACAAAAACAACCAATGATCAGTACCTGTGTCAGAAGCTGATCGGATGCCAACTGGTTGATCCAACGTGTGTATCGCTCAGTAGAGTTTGGGGGATCTCTCTGCACTTGGCACCCTATGATCTGTAAAACAACAACAATTAAAACCTATGATCTTGTGATCTTTTATGAGTATGTTTCATGCTATTTTAAGTATATAATATCTATACACCAAATTCAAATCTGTGGGACCTAGGTTGAGTTAGGTAAAAGTCCTTGTCAAAAGGAGGGGAGGGGGAACACTAGACTCACATGGGGGTCTTGAGTAGTTTCTTGGTAGCCAATGGCTAGTGTTGCCCTCAGCCTGATTGAGGGCAGTTAACTCAGTAGCTACTAGGAATGAGTTGGGTATGACAACACGCTAAGTAATGATGAGTTGGTATTATAGCTCATGCTTCCTATAGCACGGCCTCCTCTGTCCAGACTCTCCTTCTTATTGGCCACAGTAGCACCTCAACAGCCATGACTTCCTGCCCACCTCAGCTGTGCTTCATCCCCTTAGAACGTCTCCCTACGCCAGAACATATTCCACCTCAGAAGGCAACTTCACCTCAAAATTCAAGTGTCTCCATTTCCTCAGAACCCATCTCCAACTCCCAGAAAACATCCTCAGAATGCAGCATATCTCTCCAGAACATATCCCCACTCCAGAATACATGCCTGTCTCCTTTAGGGTTATCGTAATCTCCTCAGAATACAACTCTTCAGGACACATCCTAACGTGAGAATGCATACTCAGACCCTCAGAACATGTGCCCACTTCCTCAAGATGTGTGTCGCATCTCAGAATGTATCCCAATCTCCTCAAAACAGGTCCCCTCTTCAGAACAGGCTCTCCTCTCTATCTCAGAACACAACCCCATCATCGCAGAACATGTTCTCCCATCAGAATAAGTCCCCATTTCCTCAAAATACAGCCCTGCTACAGAACATGTCCCCATCTCCTCCTGTGTAACTGGTATACTCCTGCCATGGGGCTCATGCTGTAACTGCCAGTCCTCTGCCCTGTGCCAGTATGTGAGCACGACCCGAGGTCCACACAGGGATTGGCCTCTATTTACAGGCCCCTTTGACCATTTAGAGGGCTTGATCCTCACCTCTGAGCACCTTGGAAGTGTTCAGACCTACAACAGGTAGATCCTGCAGAAAGTGCAGGTGGTTCATCTAGAATACGGTTCCAGTGGCTGGGGCTATTGCCAGAGGAGGTGAAAAACTGGAAGGAAGGGAGGGAAACGAAGTCAGGTTCAAGACCAGAAGGCTCAGAGCCAGCAGTATTAAAGGCCAAGGAAGCCAACAGTTTATGTGACACCATCCAAAATTATATCTGATAGGAAGCAAAAAGAGGGAGTTACAGGGCCACTGACAGATATATTCTGAGGTGGGGCTGTGACCTGAGGGGATGGATGCACCCTCGTGTGGGATACAGGGCCATGTTCTGAGGGGGTGAGGATCTGCAGGATCATTTCTGAACCACCTATGAGCTGCCCAGACTGCTCTATCAGTGAACCAACTGCTGTCTCTAGGAAGGCACTTGGAGAAGGTAAGCAGAGTATTCCTCATGCCATGGCCTCCTAACCCCAGGCAGAACTGCAGCCATGGCACTCAGTCGCCTGCCTTTTGTGACACTGCCATTCCTTTTCCCTCAAGAACCAAGGACACCGGCAGACAGTTCAGTACTCGGGTAAGATTAAATCCCTCTAGGACCTTCTAGGTCTCTAAGGGTATTACTAATTCTAACCCAGGCATGCATGCGAAGTGACTATTGACCTGGTTGTGGGGCTCACAGAGTTGGGGCATCCATGTGTTCAGACAGACAGACCCCTTCACCAGGACTTCTTTGGATAAAGGTACAGCACAAGGGACCCAGAGCCAATACTGTGAAGCTCAGGCACTCTGACTAGCTGACTTTTCCTTTTCACCTGGGCCATCAGAACATCTACATTTACCCAGCTTTTGGCATAACTAACACATCGGACTTAAATGGTCAACTGTGGTGTGTGGGACCCAGGGCAGGGGAAAATCTACTCCAGGCACAGCTGGCCTGTGACTGGCATGAAGGACAGAACACATATATGTACACATATCAATAGCCTACAGAGAGACATAACACATACATACTTAGTATATCTCTATCCACATACACACAAAAGTACTATGCATGCAAAATGCCTCAAAACTGCACATACAATGTGCATATGTTCCCTGCACACAACATACTTGTATGACAATGCAGATATACAACATATATACTGGGGGTGCCTGCGTGCCAGCTCCACTCAACTTTAGGAATTAGAGCATGGCACAGGGGAGGGTAGTTTATATAGACACTGCTTGTGTCTATTTCTTGCCTTATTGCTCTGGCTAGGAGTTCCAGAATCATACTGAAAAAGAGTGGAGAGAGTGGATGTCCTTTTAAAATTCACAGAATGGTGCATGAGGCCCTGGGTTCGATTCCTCAGCACCACAGCCAGAAGTGGCGCTGTGGCTCAAGTGGTACAGCGCTAGCCTTGAGCTGAAGAGCTGAGGGACAGTACCCAGGCCCAGAGTTCAGGCCCCACGACTGGCAAAAAAAAAAAAAAAGATTGGGCTGGGAAGGTGGCTCAGTGGTAGAGCACTTGCCTTGCATGCATGAGGCCCTAGGTTCGGTTCCTCAGCACCACATAAGCAAAAAGTAAAAAGCCGGAAGCAGCGCTGTGGCTCAAGTGGTAGAGTGCTCGCCTTGAGCTGAAGAGCTGAGGGACAGCGCCCAGGCCCAGAGTTCAGGCCCCACGACTGGACCCAAAAAAAAAAAAAATTCACAGAATGGATAAAGGTAAGTCTGTACTTAGAGGTGACTGCCATCTTACTGAGAGGATAAGGCTGACAAGAGTGTATTTAGAGGCAAAGCACTCCACTCACAGGGTGGATGAAGGTGGATGAGACTATACTCAGGGTAAAGATCCTGACTCAGCCTCCGAGGGTGGATGAGGACTAGTGAGACTGTATTTAGAGGGGAAGTTCCTGCCTCACAGGGTGGTTGAAGGTTGGCAAGAATGCATATGGGGTAAAGATCCCTTCTAACAAGATGGCTGAAGGTTCTAGGAGATGTGGGTTTAAAAAGACAGGAGTCACTGGCACTGTCATTTTTGAATGCTTGCTCTCCCCAGTGTGAAATGGAGCTAACCTCATGGAGATGCCTGAGAGTTCAGGCACCTGAGTCCTCTTGTCCTCACTGCTTGTGGCTGATGTCTACGTTCCTGTTACTGACATTAGCCCCGACTCCCAGAGGTAACTGGATGTTCTGAACAGAAATCCACTCAGTAACCCTCTGTACAAGGAAGGCCTATACTTAGCCAAGGGTAAGTTCCATGCACCACTATGCCTATCTACAAGGTGCCTCATCTGTGGGGTGATGACATCTTGCCTCCAGCCTGACTAGCCTTGGTTTTCCTGAAGCTGTGCATCCCGTGGCCCCTTCCTCTGGCCACCTAAGGACCCCATGGAGCAAACATGGAGCTCCTCACTCCATCCCATAGGCTTCAAAATGCATCTCTGTTGCAAGGACTTGGGAAACAAGTGATAGGTAGGAATACACACTACACTTACAGCTGCCCAGGACTGCTCAAAATGTAAAATTCTGCAGTGAAACTAACAGTGGCACAAGTCATTAAGGTGTTTCCTCCTAAGTCATTTTCTTATAAGGTTTTCTTGACCTTAAGGAAATAATGACAGAGTAGGAATAAAGAACATTCATTTCATTCCTTCAGAACAAACTACGCAGCATAACAGACACAGCTGCTGACCAGCAACTGTAGATTAGGATTCTGTGGGTCACAATATTAGCCTTCCTTGGGCTGTGTTGGACACAACCATTGGTCACGCCATCCTAGGAGTATGGGAGAAGGGATGGAGGTGCTCCACCCACCTTGCAGCTGTGTACAGATGTGACCACGGTTCTGTACCACATGCTGAGTGGAGCTTCTAGATCTAGTCACAGTCTAGACTGTGAACAACCTATAAAATGTAAATCTTAATTTGAAATGGTTGTTTTGATTAAAACAAACTGACAGTTTAATAATTTTTCCAAATTCCTAAACATTCTTAGCTAGCAGTTTGCTTGAATGAATGGCAAAGAGACCTAAGAAAATGACTTCAAAATTGCATCCAGTCTGTTTCAGGATGGAAATGAAAACGTATTTCCAAGTATCTTGCTCTCCGAATGTCAACACTCTACAAAATTTTTACAAGTTTCCAGTATATACTGTAAGTTAAACATCTGGAAACACGTAGCCTTTAACATGGGCTGTAGACCACAGCTACACAGACACTACTTTCCACCCGGGTCACAACAGTCTGTCTCTTCAGTTTCACAACAAGTGAAATAGTACTAGTAGTGTTCTCAGCACTCAAGCACACAACTTTGGGAAAGAAGCTTCTTTTTTTTAATAATCATAATTTCTTTCTTCTCTAACTTCCAGATGCAATTTTCCTCACCTTTCAGAGCCATTGGGAGGGCTTTCTAAAAGTCTTAGTCCTTACATACACTGCACAGAAATCCATAAAGACAGACTTGCTTCTTCCTGACAAGGAATCAGCACCCGAAACACATTTTATGCATATAATCTCTCCTTCATGTGACTAAGAGGCCCACCAGGACTTTTGGAGGCTGGGATAGAAATGCCTAGGCCATGGCACTCAATGAGGCCAGTCCTTGGGCTAGGGGTACTAATGCCTAGTACAGACAGAGCCCTCACAGCTTCATGAGGGATGTGCCGTCAGACACTCTCTGATATCTCTCTGGCTATAAAGGGAAAAAAAATGAAGTATTCTATGCCTTTAAACCTTAGAACAGCAACTTCTGGAGTCTGTGGTCACAGACTGCCATGAAAATGTGCAGCTACACATATTTGTGGCTTCTCCTCGGTAGGCCCGGGACCCATTCAGGATCCAGAAAAAGACACAAAGTTATCCTGCCCTCGATGACACATGCCACACACAGAAGCCTTTATAGTCTACTTGGGGCCCTGGGCCTCCCAGGACCCTGCAAATCCACAGTGGGGACACCAACCAGGACTCCTCTGCTACAAGGACAGCAGCCTGTCTTCCGTCTGAATTTCTTGTCTGCTTTCACACACTTATGCACATACTGTTGTGTCCCTGATCCACAACTTTGAACTTGGGACTGCCCTCAGATTTCCTATGGGGACGAGCCTCCACCTTGTACCCAGACAAAAGTGGACAGAAATTGGGCATCAGTAGCTCACATCTGTAATCCTCACTACTCGGGTATGAGATCTGAGGATTGTGTTTTGAAGCCAGTCTGGATAGAAGAGTCCTAAGACTTTTATCTGCAGTTAGTCAGCACAATGCTGGTCAGGAGACAAGGCTCAAGAGATACAGCACCAGTGTCAGTGAAAAACCTGAATGAGAGCGCAAGGCTTATAGTTCAAGACCAGTACTAGTGAACCCACACACACAGAAAAAGAAATGGCAGCAAGGACCCTGGGGGGAAGGGCCAAGTGAGGCATACATGCTCTCATTCCTCCAAGGTGATAGGTGAGGACAGGCAGGGCCCAACCAACCTCCCACAAAGCCCAGGGTGGTCAAGCACCTATGAAGCTCAGAGGATGAGAGATTTTAAATCTGCCAGTACTAGAGCCCAAGGCTCAGCTTCAAAATGCTGATGACAAAGAAGCATTTTGAAGTGTCATGCAGGATCCAAAATGAGAAGCATGATTTTCTTCAAAGGAAACCACTCTGGAGCACTGGAGACATGCCAGCCACAGAACCCTGATCATACGTAAACTCTTTTCACACTGAGGAAAGGTCTGTGTGTACAGAATCATACTGACAATCTCATCAAAGGTGGGACAACACAGGAAAGGCACTGTACTCACGCTTGTTGGGCGCTGGAGGGCAGCTTCATGTTGCAGCCTCACTCTCTGGGGCAACATCACATCATCCTGTGTAAAGAATACATTTTAAACTCATAAGCAACTCCATCACAATAGCAACCCTATCTGCTACTGGCAGAGCAAGAGGTGTGAGAGGGTAATTCAGCCGGTGTCTAAGCACCAGAACGCTTGCTGGTCATCAGGGAAAGGCAGTCGCCATGCAACAGATGGGAAAATAGAAAATCCTGACAATTCCAAGGGTGACAAAGACACTCACTCTCCTGTGAGAAGTGTCACAGCTGTCCGAGCGACAGTCTGGCATTGTCCAAACTGGAGGTATGTATTCCTGGTAATTTTACTACCTGGATAGAAAAGTCCTATCCAAATGAGACACAAACAGGAATGCTCACAGAAACCTTGCTTGGACATGGAGCATTAATTGCTTGAGTGTTAAATGGAAAAACAAATGGCACCTTACAACTTTGTCTACTTAGTGCTGAGACTCAGTTACAGCCGCTCATATCAATAAATACACAAACCAACAATGAAAGAATAGATTGAAACATTATTCCATATATTATAATTCAAAACAAAGCAAAACTAATTGCATTACTTAAGAAATATGTATGTTATGCAAATCATAAAGGAAAGTAAGAGCATTATGACCTTGTAGGTCAGAGCCACGTCCCTCTGAGGAGAGGGCTAGGAGCAAGGTGGCTCCCTAAGGTGCTGGCAATAGGCACCGCCTGACCAAGGGACAGCTACCTATGCACAGCTTCACAGCTGAGCTTTCAAGTGCACACTGTGCATTTTTCTGTATGTTTGATCTCATGACAACAAAAAAGTATTTATGTGGAAGATCAATAAGCAAAGATTTAAATATTGTATTTAAAAGGCTAGGGTTATGGCTCAAGTGGTATAGTACTTGTATAGCAAGTTCAAGGCCCTGATTTCAAACACTAGTGTTGCCAAAAACTTTTTTTTTTCAGTTGGTGCTGATCCTGGGGCTTGAACTCAGGACCAACATGCCATTTCTGAGCATTTTTGTTTATGGCTAGTACTCTACCACTTGAGTCACACCTCCACTCCTGGCTCTTTGGCCATTAATTGGAGGTAAGAGTCTCATGGACTTTCCTACTCAGGCTGGCTTCGAATCATCATCTTCAGATCTCAGCTTCTAAGTAGCTAGGATTATAAGCATGAGCCACTGGCACCTCACAAAACTCTTTAAAGTTTTTTTTTGGGAAAAGCCCAGTGCAGGTGCCTGCAATTCTAGCTATACCACCCTGAGCAACTGACTTGACAGAACACTGGAGTGGCTGTTTGAAGACATAGCTACAGAGCCAACTGGTTTCCAAGTGCACATGTACAGGGGTGGGGCCAGGTTCCCCAGACACTGTGGTTGCTCTAGATCAAGGAGCCATGTATTGTGCTGTTTCTCCCATAGCAGAGTTCATGCATCCAGGAAATAAAGGGGTAGATCTGAGAATGATACAATTCACCACCACCAAAAGTGACCCAGTAGCAAAATTTTGCCTCCTCTTCCCATGGCCTTATGCTCTGGGTGCGAAAAGTCCTAGTTTCAGGGGGAGTGGGGGATGCTTCTACAGGAGACACCATACCAAATGGAAGTTAAGACTGCCCTGGCCACTGTGGGGTCTTCATTTCTCTAGCTAACAGTGTGAGAAGGGAGTCGTGTGGACAGAGATGACTGATCCCTCCCACAAAGAGGAAACCTGGCTGCCACCCTATGACGGAGGGAAGAAGGTCTACCATGCAGAACAGGATCACCAGGCCCTCTGTACTAAGGTCCGATTCTTCAGGAATGAAGGTATGGGCCCCCTTCAGATAAAGAACAAGACCCACTGAGGGTCTTGCTGGGCACTGGTGGGTCACATGTGTAATACTAGCTAAGAGATTTGAGAATTGTAGTTTGAAGCCAGCCTGTGGTATAAAGTTCATGAAATTCTTACCTCTAACCACTAAAAAACAAAAATCTGGAAACATTTCAAGTGGTAGAGCACCAGCCTTGAACAAAAAAATCTAAAGGCAACATCTAGGACGAGTTCAAGACCCAATAGCAGCACATACATATACATCTCCTTATTCACCTATCATATAACTTAAGACAGGCAAACTTTGTATCAGTATTTGAGTACTACTAATTCTGTTTCACAGTACTTAAGTTACAAGCTATCAGAAAAGTAAATATTACTCAAAGACTTTTTATACACAATAAGGCTGTCTCATATAGCATAATAAGTGAAACCCTACATAACTTGTGATGTTAATTTTGCGCCAGCTTGACTGGGCTAAGGACTAGTAAATGTTTTGGGGTATAGGTGTGTCTATAAAGGTGCATTTGGAAGAAATTAACTTTTTAAAAAAAATTATTGTAATGGTGATGTACAGATGCCTGACTTTCCTCTCCCCAAAGTTGCATAGTTAATTTTCTTTTTTTCTTTTTTTGGTCGATCATGGGGCTTGAACTCTGGTCCTGGGCACTGCCCCTCAGCTCTTCAGCTCAAGGTGAGTGCTCTACCACTTCAGCCACAGTGCCACTTCCAGTTTTCTGGTGGTTAATTGGAGATAAGAGTCTCACAGACTTTCCGGCTGGGGCTGGCTTTGAACAGTGTTCCTCAGATCTCAGCTTCCTGAATTCATTTTCCAACCTAACGTCTAGTGGGTTTCACTGCTGAATTGGTTCACCCTTTGTCCCACCGAGAAACTAGCTTATGAATCCGAGGACTTAGTAAGGAACACCCACCCTTTTCAAGGTCCAGATAGAACAAAATGGTGGAAGAAGAGATTTCCTCTTCCTCTTTCTGCTTCAACCAGGAAGCCTATCTTCAGCTCCTCCCAGCTAATGATACTCCTCATTCTTGGAAATTGGGACTCTGAAAAAAGGTACTTAGTACACCATTGGTTCCTCTGGCTCTCAGGCCTTTGGCTCTGGACTGCAAGTTACACCATCAGCTTTCCTGGGACTCTAGCTTATGGACAGAAGAACATGGGACTCCTCAGCCTCTATGATCATGCAAGTTTCTCCCTACCTATATATCTCTGTATGCCCTATGTCTTTTCTGAAGAATTCTGACTAATACAGACAGGGTTAATCAGATTCAAAGTTGGGGTCATGGTTAGTGTTTTTTGTATTAAGAGTTTTATGTAAAAAAGCACAATTGCCAGGTACTAGTTTTCTATGTAAAAAGTATAATTTCCTGGTATTTCCCAGCTCTCAAGAGCCCAAACAACAGGGGCTGGGAAGGTGGCTCAGTGGTAGAGTGTTTGCCTTGCCTGAGGCCCTGGGTTCGATTCCTTAGCACCACATAAGCAAAAAGAAAAAAAGCTGAAGTGGTGCTGTGGCTCAAGTGGTAGAGCACTAGCCTTGAGTTGAAGAGCTGAGGGACAGCGCCTAGGCCCAGAGTTCAGGCCCCACAACCGCCTCCCCCCCCCCCACAAAAGAGCCCAAACAACATTCAAATATGATTTCCATCACTTCTATTAGAAGCAGCCCCCCACCCTGGGATTCTGAACGCTCTGAATCTACAGGAGCAAAGAGAACATGGAAGGCATTGACTCACTTGCCAAACTACCAAGAAACTAAGGCTGAGGCAGTGAGCAAATATTCAAGTCGAAAAATAAACAGCAAAGCAGGTACCAACTTCTTTTGGAAATTATGACCACTCTCTTGACTATAAATAAGTCCCTTGTTCTCTGGAGGCCACTGTAAGAAAAAAAAAAAAAAAAAAACTTGATGAAAGACTGGAGAATGAAAAAGTCTTTATTACACATTAAAGTGGGGGTGGAGGCTCTGATAACAAGCCAGATCTGTTTCAGCTGGGTGATGATCCCATTCCTTTTGCAAAGTTCCCTGCCTACCCTGGCCCTGCCTCCTACTCCAGTCAGGTCCATTGTGCTCTAACTGGTGCAAAACACCAGGAGCTGATTAACCAGGAGCTGATTAACAAGGCCCGCTAGTATTTCAAACGCAAAGCAGAAACACTAAAAGAAGAGATGCAAAGAGCTGTGAGCACCAGCTTTGAAAGCTAGTGTACCCATTTCAGAGTTTATGCCAAAGAATTTGTGAAGATCTCTCTTCTAATGGTGAGAGGTATGTTTAACGCCTCATTACTGGTTTTCCCTGATATGTCTATAATTCTACAATGAGGACCAAGGAATCATCATTGTAGAATGACCAGGCAATCAGGAGGAGGATTAAACTAAATTAGAAACACAAGAAAATCCAAATCTATATTAAACATATGGAAAATTTGATAGCAGAGTAGTTATTTCTAGAGAGATAATAAGCAATGAGCCTGAAGATATGTAAAAATAACTTTTTCAGAATTCAGCACAACAAGACATGAAGATGGCAAACTGGGAAAGGAAATTATATGCAACTGGAGTCCCAAAAAGAGAGTGAGGAAGAAGAGTGGAGAGTCCACATGTGAGGAATTTCTATGACAGAAAGACACCAGCCTAGATGCACCAAACCCAACAAATGCTAAGTCAGAGAGAGAAACAAAATCCAGGAGCAAAGTCAATTCCAGGAGATGTGTGAGTTGGGATGATATGCTCAACATCAATACTTAGAAAAGCTAGGAGGAAGCTGGGCAACAGTGGCTCACGCCTATAATCCTAGCTACTCAGGAGGCTGAGATCTGAGGATTGTAGTTCAAAGCCAACCCGAGCAGGAAAGTCCATGAGACTCTTGATCTCCACTAAATCACCAGAAAACCGGAAGTGGCACTGTGGCTCAAGTGGTAGAGCGCTAGCCTTGAGCTGAAGAGCTGAAGGACCGTGCCCAGGCCCAGAGTTCAAGACCCACGACAGACAAAAAAAAAAAAAAGAAAGAAAGAAAGAAAAGAAAAGCTAGGAGAAGACTCAAACAGCAAGACACCAGCTAAAAAGCTCCACAGAGCCACTAGAAGCCCAAGGAAGGGCCCTGATGTGGAGGAGAAGGAAGCTGGGGAGGCATGCAGACCACAGAAGGTACTGTTGAGGTGGCTATGCAGCCTTAGCCCACAGACCTGGTTATCAGAAAAAAGGGTGGAATCACCCTGGTCATTAAATAGGTCTAAAAACTGCTCCTTATAACAAGAATTACCCAAAGGCTGATACAGAGACCTGCTCCTTTCCAGTCAGCTTCAGGATACACATTTATAACAGGCCTGTACAACAGGAGGGAGACTCAGCTGTCAGGGAGAACTTAGGCAATCAGAACCAGTGTATGCAGAGTAGCTTGTGGGCCTAGATAAGCTGCCTCTAAGATATGAGAAGAAATACCTTTCAGGCCTAGACCTTTAAAAAAGTTTTTTTTTAATTTAAATAACCCACACAAAAGGAGTTCAATTTAACAAGTCAGACTGTAAGTATAAGGCATCTCAAACAGTGTCACCCTTTCCACTGTTCTCCCCTAACTTTCCCAATTGTATCTATTTGTTTCTATCTTAAGTTACATAGCTCAACTTTTTTTTTTTTTTGCCCGTCCTGGGGCTTTAACTGTGGGCCTGGGTACTTCCCTGAGCTGCACTTGCTCAGAGGCCCTGCCCCCTCAACTCCTGAGCCCCTGCTGTAGATTTCTGTTCTGTCCTTGGGCCCTGCCGCTTGCTGTTTCCCTTCCCTGCTAGATCGTGGATCTCTGGGCTGCTTGCTCTGACCTCATAGCTAGTAGGAAAGGAATTTCTTTTCATTTGAGAGAGAACAAGAGTCCCTTCTGACCAGCAAGATTCCAGAGGAAGAAGGAAGAACAAGCAATTGAAGGCACCCTGAGCTAGAAGCTGCTACCTGACACTAGCTATGATTTTATATCAGAGCACTGGAAATCTGACTCAGGCGACACCAGGAACACAAGTACATAGTAACTGAGCCTTCTCAAGGGCAAAATTCAGAGTCATCTCCCTTGGGAAATTTTGTTCATCTTCTGCCCACTTTGCCCTTATCACCACTGGAGCAAGAATCTGTGAACAGGATCCGGGCCAAGTTCCTGCATAAACATCGCCACCCAGGAGGAAACTGGGTGAATGAGCCCAGTGCCATCCACACTGACAGGTCACAACCTGCAACCTCTCTCAGGCACAGGTAGCCTGAGATTGGAGCTGACCACTGCTCCCAATCTGTTGCAGGAAAGCACAAATGTTTCAGAGGTACTCTCTAATTTTTCTCCTTGGGGTTCTCAGCAAGATCAAATCATTCTCCCCTCCCTGTCCTCCTCTTTGGACTCTGTACGTTGCCAACAGCGTGTCCTCCTAGGGCAGGCAATGTGTTTAGATATTGCTGTCCCCAAAATGAGTTTTTCTTGAAGTTTCTGTTGGTACACAGACCTCCCAAGCAGGAGCATGTGCCGGTCATCTCTTCCAGTAATAGATCTGTCTAACCTTGAGCACTGTCTTAGGGATGTAGAAAGAAGTGTCACGCCTCTCTCTGAGCCCACAAGTTGGTGGGGTGGAAGCATAGTGAGACAGACCAGAATATAAGGACAGATCAAATCATGGCAGGAAGCACAGCCGGTGCCCAGTAATGAAGCAACGTGAGCGTGCTGAGTGGTGGTGAGAAGTGGCTTACCTGCCACTATGACAGGAAGCAAAGTCTTCAACCCAGCATCTAGGAATACCTTGCTCAGAGAAAAATTCACAGGTAAGCTTGAATGCAATTCTCCTTGGACTGGGTTTAAAGGCCCACAGCTCGCAAAGGAAACGCCCACTAGCTGCAAGTCACTCTGAAGCTTGTTAAAAACACAGAGCTGCCTTGAGACCCTAAGAGCATGCATCTGTAGTGAGTGACTGGAAGGCATCGTTTCTGCAGGCCTCTCCCTGATCAGAGGCTTCAGAGCCAGAGCTCTGAAGAAGCGGCTGAACAAATGCCGGTGCTCCCCTTTTCTTAAGGCTTAAAATGAAAACACTCTGTAAAAATAAAAACATTTCAAAGATCACTATTGTCTGAGTCATTAGTCCCTTGGAAAAAATCAAGTTTAGTGGCATTTGGCAAGATCTACAGATTGCCAAAAATAATACACTATACAAATAAGAGGAAAATACAGTGTGCTGAATTGCAGACACCATCAGAAAGTTGAGCACCTCCAGCATTAAGACTTCTCACGACTCTCATAAGTCCTTGATAGGCTTTGTCTTTCCCCAGTTCAAGAAAAACATTCCTGAAAAAGAATAAAGGATATCTCTTCTGGCGAAGAACAAGATGTTTACCCATCATGGCTATGGCTGTCTTTGCATGGAACTATTAGAGTGACTGAGAATGAAAAACGAGCCCCGAGGGTCAGAAGGTGTTAAGAGAACAAGAGGGAGACTACATGTTCAATGGAAGGAAACTGGAGAAATCTGGTGTTTGGTTTAAGAAAATAAGAAGAGGGCTGGGAATGTGGCTTCATGCCTCACATTCATGAAGCCCTGGGTTCGGTTCCTCAGTACCACATACACAGAAAAGGCCAGAAGTGGCACTGTGGTTCAAGTGGTAGAGCGCTAGCCTTGAGCAAAAGAAGCTCAGGGACAGCACCCAGGCCCTGAGTTCAAGCCCCAAGACTGACCAAAAAAAAAAGAATAAGAAGAATGAAAGAGCAGCAGGAACTACATGCTAGGTTATGGTTTGACAGCAGAGCTATTTGATGCATAGGTTTACCAGGACTGCAAACGTTATATCCCTCAAGTCCTGTACAGAGCGTTTTGGTGATCAAGGTGCAAAGCTGAGTAAACATGAGATAAGAAGAGGTTTTCTTTGAGTTAATTTTGCCCCAACAGAAACAGAGAGAAGAGACCCCAGAGCACAGAAGTACCAGAGTAGGATTCTGATAGGCTAGAAGCCTGGGCAGGGGACAGCAGACACAAATGAAGGTTCTCAAAGCTTGTCTTTTTCTCTCTAAACAGAAACCCATGGGGAAAAAAAGAAGGTAAATAGATCTGTGGCTGGGGACAGACTGTATGTGCACTCATACACTCTTCCTCCACATTATAATCCTGTGTCCTTTCCCAGGAATTTCCCATAATCACAACACAACACTTTCACCAGCACTGTGCCAGTACATGCTGGCAGACATCTCAACTTATTTCTAATTCTGTCATAATGAACAACCCAGAGCAATCTCTGCATAAATCTTTCTTCAACATACCTAGAGGTGAAATTTAGAGGAGTCAGGCACACAGCATTTTTAAAGTTCTTGAACAAAATATACAGTCACATTGTTAATGTGGTACCAACTCATACTTTCTGAAATACTATCTACATAAAGTACTTTATTTTGTTTTTTTAAATTATCTCACTAATTTATATGATTACAAATGTAAATGTTTGCAATTTAACTTTGACTGATTTAAACCTCTGCTTGTTGCCTGCATGGCTACACCTGAGTTCTGGCCTCAGCCTATGAACCCACTAGTCCTACGGCTTGAACTTGGGGCCTGGCACTGTCCCTCAGCTTTTGTGCTCAAAGTTAGTGCTCTATCAATTGAGCCAGAACTCCATGCCCAGCTTTTTAGTAGTTAATTGGAGATAAGAGTATCATGGACTTTTCTACACAGGCTGGCTTTGAACTGCAAACCTTACATCTCAGCCTCCTGAGTACCTAGGATTACAGGCATGAGCCACTGGCACCCAGCTGTTTGTGTTTTCTTATCAATTGTGAAAAGCTATTTCCAGTTCTGGCTATTAATCTCTTAAGTATCATATTTGCTAGTATCATGTTAGCTTACTTTTTGTTTATAATATTTTCTGCAATGCAGTCTTATGTTTTTATGACATTTTATTCATTGTTAATTAACTCAGTTTATGTTTTTATGACATTTATCCTTTGTTAATTAACTCAGTAAGTGCTATTGCAATTAAGTGGCAATAACCCATCAACTTTAACTTCTAAGGCTGAGCATAATATGTTTAAAAATAAGTTATAAGAACCACACTAAAGGGCTGGGAATGTGGCTCAGTGGTAGAGTGCTTGCCTACCAGACATGAAGCCCTGTGTTTGATTCTTCAGTAACAAACAAACAGAAAAAAGCCTGAAGTGGTGCTATGGCTCAATTGGTAGAATGTTAGCCTTGAAAAAAAGAAGCTCAGGGACAGTGCTCAGACCCTGAATTCAAGCCCCAGCACCAATAAATAAATAAATAAAATTTTTTAAAGGAACCACACTAAGATGTATAATCATTCAAAATATAAATAGTTGTTAACAGAGTTACTTACTGAATCTAAAAAGCAGAGGTAAGTCCCTGAGCTCTGTGCAACTGCTTGATTTTTAGAATATCCAACTGTTGGAAAAAAGAGAAAAAATAAAAACCTCTTATAATTCAGTTTTCAACAGTATCAAGTTTAGGGTACTTTACAGTCTAAGAGAACTAGGGACACGTGGCACTACATGGAAAAGTCGGAATTCAAGGACAGTAAATGAAAAACAATGTCTACATTTGGTAACCGATGTAAGGGAGTACAAGTAAAGGCATATCCAGTATCTGCCATAAAATTAAAACAAACGTAATATGCCCCCTGGGAGGAGTCCGTAAGTCTGCTGATGAATCAGGACCTGGTTACACAGAGTTGATCAACTCCCAACCTGGAGGGCAGCTATCCAAGCATTATACCCATGGAGAAGTGTAAGATCACTGCTGGTGCTGGCTGTACCTGAGTATGAGCACACTCAGCTCCTGCTGTCACCTGAGTGTGCTCACTACACCTTGCCTGGTATAGATCCAGCAGAACTTTGAGCTCAGTTGTCACAGAGAGTGGTGCCCTTTCTAACAACCTAAAGGTAGAGCTGCCTAAATGTAGACTGAAGAAATGAGATACTCAACACTGAGCAAACACAGCAATGTGGGTGTCTCACACCAGTGTCCAGTGAAGGACAACAGCCTCAAAGCAGAGGCTTCTGGGACACACAGCAGGGGGCCTAGGAAACAAGAGTTCTGTGCTTAGGAAGTGAGGAAGGGACCAGAGGTTGGGGACTCTGAGGGACCAGTAGTACATTTCCATTAGGGTGCTGGGTGAATGATGTATTCAGTTCATGAACAATAACCCAGTTGTATGAGTATGGATGAACTTTGTATTTTATTAAAAGCTCTTTAAAAATAATCTTTGTCTGCAATGATACTTATAGCTGAGCAGAACACAGTAAAGCACCAAATGGTGCTTTAAAAAAATAAAAAAGGTAGCCAGGCGCCAGTGGCTCACGCCTGTAATCCTAGCTACTCAGGAGGCTGAGATCTGAGAATCACGGTTCAAAGCCAGCCCAGGCAGGAAAAGTCCATGAGACCCTTATCTCCAATAAACCACCAGAAAACCAGAAGTGGTGCTGTGGCTCAAGTGGTAGAGCACTTGCTTTGAACTAAAGAACTGAGGGACAGCTCTCAGGCCCGGAGTTCAAGCCCCATGACTGACAATAAATAAATAAATAAAAATTTAAAAGGTATGAAAAGCTTAACAGATAAAAATCACTGCAAAGGGAGATTCAGAGGGCACTGTGTTAGAACTGTAAATGTAAATGTTAGAAGAGTGAAACATAATCATGCAGAACAGATCTCTGTGGGACACCTAACTCTTTAAGGCAGGCATGTGTTTGGGAAGGCCAGCACAAGCCTCCCACAGAACTGACCACGGAGCTGAGGTGGCTCAACATCACCCTGTCAGGCTACCAACAGAAGCAGTATGCAGTCTGATATACAAGAGCTCAGCCTAAGTACCCAGCCAAGGGTCCTTAGAGGGGCATTTAGCCAAGAACAGGGCACTGATGGAGCTTCATGAGGCAACAACTGTGTTCCTAAAAAAACAGGTTGCCAATACCTGAATCATATTAACCAGCTGGTCACAGATTTGATGCCACTGAGAAAAGTCATGCAAGGTAAAACAGATGTGCAAGCGCCCTTCTGCAAGGGGTTCAAATATTGTAGCAGTTTCATTTCTAGCATTAATCCCTAGAGCTAACCAACCCAAACCAGTTAGCAGAATGACTCCACATTTCAAAGGATGACAAGTGTAAGCATGAGCAGAGGAGGAAATGACCAGGGAAGACAAAGCACCTAGCTCCGCCACTGGGGTGGAATCATAAGCCATCACAAAATAACTGTAGTTAATCTTTGCCATCCTTACGATGTGCAGGCAGAGAGAACATCTCATGAGAACTCAACCAAAGAACTGCTTGGGAAACAAAAAGTGATTTTCTACAAGCACATTGAAATAAGCAGGAGTTCTGTTCCAAAAGTTGCTTATTGGTGTTGGGTTTTAAGAGAGAAATTGAATCCTTGAATTTGTGTAATGAAGGCAGGCATATCTCACTGAGAAAGCTGGAAGCTTCTCACAATGAATCTTGTGTTTGGCAAAGACAAGGAATTTGCTTTAATATTACTGCCTCTGAGAAAGTCAAATGTTTGTATGGGGTTCCATGTTTGGGGAGGCCCATCCCTTAGTGAAGGGGGCAGGTTTCTATGGCCACAGCAGGAAAAACTCAGCTCCATGGAGAAGTCCCATTACACATTCCTGGAGAGGAGAGATGGGCTGTGCTGAATTCTTACTTTAGCAAGAGGTTATACAATCAATTTTCAATAAACACAGCACTCTTGGAAACAGACAATGAATCTACCCTAGCCAATAGAACGTGTCCTGTTTAAGAAAATATATTATAGGAAATACGTCCTTTCAGATAGAGTCAAAGTTCCTATGGTGTTACTGTATAGTAGAGGACTCTCATGAATTCTCACCATTTCTCAAGGACAGCAGGACAACTTCGTCTCATAGCATTCCACCTTGGTCCTTCAGTGTGCTACCAATCAGCTGTGTTACTGACAATGAGTACAGACACAATGAACTCTGTGACAGAATAGTGTTTTATGAAAGGCAAAATGTTTCTAAAATGGAGGCCAGAAAAGGTGTCACATTTTGTGACCATAAAATGTCTTTCTAATTCAACTGTAGAAAATGTAAAGTCACTTTTTAAATTTTTTTGTTGGTTGTGGGGCTTGAACTCAGGGCTTGGGTGCTGTCCCTAGGATATTTTGCTCAAGACTAGGACTCTACCACTTTGAGCCACAGCACTACTTCTGGTTTTTCAGTGCTTAATTGGAGATAAGAGTCTCATAGGGACTCTTCTGCTTGGGCTGGCTTTGAAACATGATCCTCAGATCTCAACCCCCTGAGTAACTAGGATTACAGGAATGAGCCACTGATGTCTGGGTACAAATCACTTTTAATAAAAGAATATTAAAGAATGTTTAACCAGTTTCAGATAACAGCTTACTTCACACATTTTAGAAGAAATGTAGTTTGCTTTTGTCCTGATCCTAGAATTGAACTCAGCCTGAGTAGACTATCCCTGAGTTTTTTGCTCAAGGCTAGCACTCTACCACTTGGGTCACAGTGCCACTTCTGACTTTTGAGTTAACTGAAGTTAAGAGCCCAGCCACTGTGCTTGGGGTAACAGCTATGTGCCACTGTGTCTAGCCATTAGTTAAGATGGAGTTGTGAGACTTTTGTGCCTGATCTCTGCCTCCCAAATAACTAGTATTACAGGCATGAGCCACCATGCCCAGCTAAACTGCAGTTTAATAACCTAAGTATGTTACTCACCTCCTCGAGGAGAGGGAGAAACATGCCCTCCAATGACCACAGGGATGCCAGAATCTTCCAGCTTCACTTTCCATTTCTCAATGATAGTCATAGACTTGTCCTAGAAGTGAACACTGCAGGTCAGGAAACTTTCCTGAAAGCTAATTTGTAGGAGGGCTAAACCACCCAATCAGCGGATCCATAAATACCTTACTGGCATCATCAAAAATGGAGAGCTCCATAGCACCTTCAAAGTCCTGCTGCAAAACAGACTTCAAGCATTCATCCAACCAATTTTCAGCATTGTGGACTGGGAGAATAATAGACTGCAATTCAGAGAAATGAATCAATAAACAAATGTGAGGAGCTGAATTCCCCTCCCCCTGCTTTAATGGACTTTTGTCAGCCACATCATGCTCCTGACCTACAGAAGCCTAAGTCAGAGGCTTCCTGGACAAGGCACTCCCTGACAAAAATGTCTATTCCTTCTATGCAAGCTCTTGACATCCTTTTGTTCTATAACACCTATAATGTTTTAGTTTTCCCTAAAATTGGTGGCTGGCACTAACTCTGTCTTTTTCACAAATCCTGCAAAACTGAGAACTTCTCAGGTGGTATGGAATAAAATCAGTGGACCTGACTACCACCAAAGCAACTATCTTATAACTTTGTAATTATCACACTAAAGAGCAGCCACAGAAGTTAGGTTGTGCTCATTTCTGAGTAAAGAAAAGTGGACAGACTTCTGGCTTTCTTGGTATGTAGACCAAGCAGGTGCGTGTACAGCTGCTGGCATTCGGCCCATCTTGGGTCCTCAGCTCCTCCCCGGCCCGGCATTCCCGCCCTCGACTGACCACGCCCCCTCCCCGCCCCAGCTCGCCCGCTCTCGGCCGACCACGCCCCCTCGCGTCCCCGCCCCTGCTGACCACGCCCCTCCCCAGCTCCCCGGCGTTCCCGCCCCCGGCCGGCCCCGCCCCCTCGCCTCCCCGGCGTTCCCGCCCCCGGCCGGCCCCGCCCCCTCGCCTCCCCGGCGTTCCCGCCCCCGGCCGGCCCCGCCCCCTCGCCTCCCCGGCGTTCCCGCCCCCGGCCGGCCCCGCCCGAGCTCCCCGGGCCCCTCCCCGCCGCGCCCCGCGCGGTCCCGGGCTGGCCCTGAGGGACCCCTCGTGCGCGCCCAAGTACTCGCGTCGCACACGCCGTGCGGGGTTACGCCTCGGTGGGCGCCCGCGTGCCATTTAGACAGGCCTCGGGGCCTGGACCCTACTCGGGCAGAACACCTCACAGCACGCGAGGGTCCGCACCCGCTGCCTCCGGGCGGCGTCCCCGACGCGGGCGGGGCTTTGCTTCTGAAGGGAAGCCGCCGGCGTCGGCTCGTACTTCCTCAGGACGCGGGTGAACGTCCGTCAGGGGGGCTCAGCGTCCGCCGCGAGAAACGACGGCGGCGGCGCGCGGGGCGGGCGCGCGGGGCGAGCGGGCGGGCGGGCGGGCGCGCGGGGCGGGCGGGCGCGCGGGGCGGGCGGGCGCGCGGGGCGGGCGGGGCGGGCGCGCGGGGCGGGCGCGCGGGGCGGGGCGGGGCGGGCGGGCGCGCGGGGCGGGCGCGCGGGGCGGGGCGGGGCGGGCGGGCGCGCGGGCGGGCGGGGCGGGCGCGCGGGGCGGGCGGGGCGGGCGCGCGGGGCGGGCGCGAGGGGCGGGCGGGGCGGGCGCGAGGGGCGGGCGGGGCGGGCGCGCGGGGCGGGCGGGGCGGGCGCGCGGGGCGGGGCGGGGCGGGGCGGGCGCGCGGGGCGGGGCGGGGCGGGCGGGCGCGCGGGGCGGGCGGGCGGGCGCGCGGGGCGGGCGGGCGCGCGGGCGGGCGGGCGCGCGGGGCGGGCGGGGCGGGCGCGCGGGGCGGCGCTGCCCGCACGGGGAGGGGGGCCCCGCAGACGGCGGGCCGGTCGGCCGCGCGGGTCCGTCCGCCGGGACGCAGGCACCGGCGCAGAGGCCGCGGCCGCGCCCCTCAGGGGTCCGGAAGGCGCCGGCGGGGCCGCGCCCCAAAAGGGCGCACGCGCAGGAGAAGGGAGCGCGAAGACGCCCTCCCGGCACCTACCACGACGGGTGGCCGGCCCGGCCCGACGCCGCCGCCCGCGCCGAGCATGGCCGAGCTCCCCCTCCCGCTCGGGCTCGCCAGCCCCGCCTCCCCGCGCGTGCGCGGCGGCGGAGGGAGGCGGGGCCGAGACCAGGTTGCTTCCGATTTGCTGGTTCGGCGGGAGGGGCGGGGCAGGACCGCGTGCAGGAACCGTGTTGGCGCAGGAACACGTCGGGGCGTGCCGGAAGGGGCGGGGCCTGGCGGAGCCGGCGCTTCCGGACGCCGGGCGGGGGCGCGCGCCGTGGGCACAGGCCACGTGACCGGAGCTCGCCCCGCGCCGGCCGCGCGGCCGCCCTGGGGAGGAGTCGGCGAGCGGCGCCCCGGCCTGCAAAGCCGTCTGGGGGGATTGCCCTGCGCCGGCTCGTGAAGGTGAGCGGCGGGCCGGGCCCCAGAGCGCCGCCCCAGGCAGAGGCGGCGTTTCTGACCTGGCCCGCACCTGCGCGTCGCGGTCACCTGCACGCACCCCGCGGGAGCGGACGCGGACGCGCTCCCCAGGGCGCCCGGGGCCGGCCGTGACCCCGCGTGACCCGCCGCTGGGCCGAGGGCTCGCGTGCGTCTCGCCAGCTTCAGAGGAAGCCCGAGTAGAGCCGCCCCGAGCCCTGGCGGGCCTCCGTGCCTTGCTGAAAACCGAAGCGGACGAGGGCACAGGTGGGAGAGCAGCTCCCGGGGCTCCGGAACCGTCCCGGGCTGGTGCTCAGGGCACAGACGCCGCCGCCCGCGTAGCTCAGCCCGGGCCGCACCCCTCGGCAGAGCCCGCGTAGCTCAGCCCGGGCTGCACCCCCTCGGGGGAGCCCGATCCCATTGCTCAGCCCGGGCCGCACCCCTCGGCGGAGCCCGCGTAGCTCAGCCCGGGCCGCACCCCCTCGGGGGAGCCCGATCCCATAGCTCAGCCCGGGCCGCACCCCCTCGGCGGAGCCCGCCGAGCCCGGGCCGCACCCCCTCGGCGGAGCCCGCCGAGCCCGGGCCGCACCCCTCGGCGGAGCCCGCGTAGCTCAGCCCGGGCCGCACCCCCTCGGCGGAGCCCGATCCCATAGCTCAGCCCGGGCCGCACCCCTCGGCGGAGCCCGCCGAGCCCGGGCCGCACCCCCTCGGCGGAGCCCGCCGAGCCCGGGCCACTGCGGATCGAGGACAGACACCCGAGCACCGCTGGGCTTCGGGAATCTGAGCAGGGATTTCTGTGCTCTCAGATGAAGGCTAACCGTTGTTCCAGGTGCTCTGAATTAGTAAGGCTAGTGGCGGGCCGGCCTGTAATCTGGTTACTCCGTAGGCGGAGGCTCTGAGCCAGCAGAGACGAGACCGGCGAGACGCCCCTCCAGTCAGCTAACCAGGTGCCCGGCCCGCGTGGAGGCGCGGCCCGCGTGGAGGCGCGGCCCGCGTGGAGGCGCGGCCCGCGTGGAGGCGCGGCCCGCGTGGAGGCGCGGCTCCCACGGCGCGAACGCAGCAGGACGACTGAGTCGTCAAGTAGGATAAAAAAAGTGTTTTTTACAAAGCCCAGTTTCTATTTAAGTGCCAATTGAAAACGATATTTTTTTCTTAAATTCCATTGTATTTGCAAGGCACAGACTACAAATTGAAAACCTTAAGCCAAGGCCCGAGTAACCAATAACTACTTATTTCAGACTGATGAAAACAATCTGAAAATCTTTTTTTCAAGAACCTCATGCCTTGGGCATATCAAGAACTGTTACATTTAAATGATTTAGTAAGAGTAGCTTGCTAGTTAACAGAATGCATCCCAGCTGGAGATAAGGGGTCAGAGATTAGGTACTGCAGCTGGTTTCTGGCCCTCCCACAGCAGGGGGTGTTTGGAATTGGGCCTGGCTGCTTGTGTCTTGCTTCCTGCACATCTCTTGAAGCCAGAAATTTCCTTTTCACACCTTCCCCTACACAACTTGGAATCTCCTTTTTGCAAACAGAGTACCAGAAGGCACTAGAAATTCACAGTGATAGGTGGTGATGGTTTAAAAATCCAAGGGTGTTTGGGGCCTGGGGTCATTCTAATTAAGGTAGAGTCTTCTGGAAAGGCCAACCGAGAGACTTAGACTTGGCCTTCGGGACTGGCACAGCTCTGGTAAGGAACCAGGGGGATGAGGTGTATTCGAGTTTACTGGACTGAAACTTTGGGGTCTTAAGTCAGAAAAGAAGGATGTGATAAAAGACAAACAGATAAAGGACAAACAGTTGCATAGACACCCAAAGGGAAGTGACACAAAACTCCAGAAGCTTTGGGAATATTGAGTGGGGAGCTTATTAATTTTTAATTGCCATTTGAGCAAATACTGGCAAAGAAAGCTGCATTCAGAGGACTCAGTGCCATCTGCCCATGTGGTCCACGGTAGGGAGCACCAGCACTGGGATCTGAATGTCACATCCCAAACCCATGTCTTGATGCTGGGGTTTAGGAGATGTTAGAGAGTGCTCAGGTCATGGTGTCTTACACTTAACAAGATCAGTGTAAGGCATGAGGGAGCCTCACCTGTCTTCTACCTTGTGAGGACATTTGGGAGGTCCCATCTGTGAGGAAGGTATGCACACTGGACATTGAATCTGTTGTGTCTTAATCTGGAACTCCCAGCCTCCAAACTGTGAGAACTTAAATCCATTTATAAGTTATCTGAACTAAAGTAATTTGCTGTAGCAGCCCTAATGGACTAACACACCATCTGTCTAAATTAAGAGCTACACCAAATGGTATTGGTACAGGAGGCAGAGACTTGGTGAAGGCTCATGGTGTTGTGTGTGTGTGTAGCACTCCTGGATTGGGAGTGAAAGCCTGACCTATACAGTGTCATCAAGGACTGAGTTCAAGCTTTAACATGGAGCCACACGGATTCTTGTGACAATCTAAGCTCCAAAACTTCATGTGTCCTCAAGTTTGCAGTTGGGACAAATCTAAACAACTCTGACACAACTTCCCTGGGCAGTGGGTACTGCTTGGAGGTAATGAAGGCCTGGACCACAGGAGACTGCACATGCAGCCAGTTGATCCAGAGAATATACTAGTGGTTGAGGAGAAAACCAACCGGTGCACAAGGCAGCCTCTGCTGTTCTACATTGTGGTGGTGACTGGCTCTGGATTTAGGCCAATAGACCCAAGGTGGATGTAGTCCCATGAACTCTGTCCCAGCACACGCTCCTTCAGTCTAGACCTGGGAATTGCAGTGGCTATGAGGGACTCCTGTGGCACACTTAGGGAAGTGACTCTCCTGTGGTGTGCACCTGACTTGGGGCCAGCCCCTTGGGTTTGGTGTGTGCCAAACCCTTTGCTGCTCACCTCCAGCCACAAGCATAGTGCTGGACCATCAGAGAAGGTGGGATTTGGAATAGCCCTTCAGGAGAACCCAGGCGGCCGGCGAGGCCTTATCCCCTGCTCTCCGAATGGTTTCCATTTATTCCTGAACATTGTCCTACCTCAGCCATTCTTTTAGGAGTGGCCACATCAACACTGAGGGACAGATCCTACTGTGGGCCCACCAGCCCATCTCATTTCTCTACACAGCCATTGTGGTAGGCAGCTCTGACTCTGAGGCTGGCCTCTGGAAGAAGGACCCTCCCACTCAGAGCTCCTGGGAGCCACAGGCACTGGTTTGGACATGCAGCAGGTGTTCCTGGGGTTGTGGGCAGGAAGCTGAGTTACAGAGCCTGGACTGCAGGTGGTGACACGGCAGATCCCTAAAGTTTTGTCTCAGGACAGAAGAATGGGGCAGTTCTGTGGCTCTCCGTAAGGATTAAGATGCTACCCAGCACCTTGCCCAAGGTGACAACTGCCTGCGTTGTCAGAAATTCTGACAGGGACAAGAGACCCCACTGCCTAAGCATTTTCTTTTCTTTTTTTTTTTTGGGGGGGTCTGGTGGTGTGGCCTGAACTCTGGGCCTGGGCGCTGTCCCTCAGCTCTTCAGCTCAAGGCTAGCGCTCTACCACTTGAGCCACAGCACCACTTCCAGCTTTTTTCTTTTTGCTTATGTGGTTCTGAGGAATGGAACCCAGGGCCTCATGCATGTAAGGCAAGTGCTCTACCACTGAGCCACCTTCCCAGCCCTGCCTAAGAATTTTCTAAATGCCAGGCACTTCATAAGTATTATCATCATTAAAGCTCTGCACAACCCAAATGACCTAAAGCCAGAGGCTGGACGCCTGCCCTGACTTGGGCAGGAAGGGATGAGGTTCCTGTTGCAGGAAGCATTTAATTAACAGTGAAGCAGACATTTGGATCTCATGTGAGCATCAGCTTCGGGGAGAATGTTTGTCTTGGCCTGGATTCCCCATCAGGCCAGAAAACAGAGCCCAAGTCGGGTTTGCACATGGAATGCTGGTGTTCCAAGAGACTGAGGAGAGAGGGAGAGGGACAAGGGGCAGAGGCCAGGACCTGTGGGCTCTCCTGGCAGTATCCCCACTGAGGCCAGAGGCAGAGCCTTCCCCAGAATCCCAGGAAATCGTCCATCTTAGTAGGGAAGCAGGAAGTCACAGCTCCGTAGCCAGGTTGCCCTTTGGGTGGCAACATCCATAGGTGTCCTGATTCCTGGCCAGCTCAGTCAGTGGAGGTCACCCCCAGAACCAGGGTGGACAGGATGTGCTGGATGAGCCTGACAGGGCAGGAAGAAGACGATAAAACCACAAGAACTTCCAGGAAAAAAAATAATCAAACAAAATAAACCTCCATGTTGTATACATAGCACCAGAGGTTGCTCCACGTCCAGGTGGATGGCAGGTCACATCAGGGCTGCAGTGGGTTTGGCCCAGTGAGCCAAGCTGTCCAGTTGACTTAGGGCAGGAGCAGCTCTGGCTGAGTAACCTTTGGTGCTCAATGAAATGTCACCCTAATTGTGAACAGAAAAATGTCTCAACGTTGGTTGTAATGGCAACTTTATGGGACTTACTGGCATGAGATGACATGTCCAAAAACATCCATATGTGGGAGAAGGAGCTGAAACCAGTCCACATCTGAGAACGCAGATGGGGGCAAGAGGCTGGAAATACCAGGGGCAACTTGTATTCTCCAAGACCTGAAGAGAAGCC